ATACTTCGATGGACAGCATGAAAGCCAGGTTAACTGGAACACCATTGCAATGAGCTATCATCTTGCTGGAACAAAACCTAGTGGCAACTTGCGTCCTGTTGCTTGATGAGGATGTATCTTTTCTTAATCCGTGCTGTTGTGAAAATGCAACATGTACTTCATCTATGGGAAAAGTGGGGAGGAACCAAGCCAAGCGTGCTGTTGTTGATGGCAGGTTGACATCATCTTTCACTGATGCTAAGGGCCTCTTTCCATGTTTTGTGGAGGATGGGGAGTTTTTTGGTAGGGTAACAATGTTCTCTCTTCTCCATACCAGCAGATACTCCCCTCTTAAGGGAACCTTTGGGAACCATATAAGACTTTGGGGAAGGGGCAGGCGAATCCCCCCCCTTTCTTTTACCCACTCAAGCAGTCACATGTGACGGATTCATGCCTGCAGCACTTCTAGGTTTTATCTGCTCACTAAATTTTATTTCCCCTCTGTGAGTGTTTATATTGCTTAGAGACTGCCAAGGTTCATGTTAATCATAAAAAAAAGTGGAGGTTTATTAGGTATTGCAGCTCTGTGATTCTTTGGTGTTTGAATGTTAATGAAGCTATGTATGCTCTGGAATAGCTAGAGAGGTGGATCTTAGCTCTGGCATGGCAAAATATCCAGGGGTGGATTTTTCTTCCCTTTGCTCTGGGTTTTAACATCTTTATGTGACATTTCATCCCAGAGCAATTTTACACTATGTATCATCATGTGTAATATTGTGTCACGCTGTAATTTTGCAAGTGCATGAAACAGCAGGAGGGAGGTGAGAATGGGCTCAATTACACCCGGAAGGGAAGGGAGAGCTCAGCAGAGGGACCTGCTCCTGGGAGGTAATGAATTGGGTGTCAGCACTTTGCCAGAGCAGAGCGATGGTGCGGAGGGGAATTTATTATTTTTAGGGGCTCAGTGGCCAGACAAGAGGAAAGGAACCAGTCAAATCGCATTACTAATCGTCATTTCCATAGGCTGTGCATGTACGTGGGATTTAACGAAAGAAGGGACATTCATTCTCGCTCCAGACAGCTTGGTTCTTTCTTTTTCTGAAGGCTAAAGGAAGAACTCGGCCATTTTAACTGGCTCAGAGAGAGAAGCTTTCAAAGCAGCTTTGGTGGCAACTCTTGGGGAAGGCAGACGCATAGTCATTCCGGGTGAGGGAGACATCTATTCAGGGATATCCCCCTTTCACAGCCTCTTCTCTGGGTGTAGTCAGCCCTGAGGGATCCCTCTGGGATGGAGGAAATGGGGATGCAGAGGGGAAGAAAGGAACCAGGTAGACGTTAGGGCAGGAGGAATCATAGCACAGGATGTATGCATCCTGCTGGTGTGCAGCTGTTGCTAGCCCTGATGATGAAGGTTGTATTCACTGAAGAAAGCTAGAGGATGAGCAGCTTCTTATTTTGCAGGAACAAGAGGTACTTTCTCACTGAGTTATGCTCTATGCATTTCCAGGTGGCATTCGGTGTAATTTCATTGCCCTTTGTCTCTTCCTTTGCCCTGAGTGCAACCTTGTTCCTTCAGCTTAACCCAAGCAAGATTTCTTTTTTCATTGTACATTGTATTTAGGGCAGAGCAACCAAACTGGAGAGCTGAGCACTTCTTATTTTCTGAACTTCTAGCCAGGGCTGCCCTCTAAGTGAATGGCAGAGCTTTGGTAGAGCAAGATGTACATCTTGCTTTAGTGCCTTCAGACTAACCTCAAAGGGGGCTTGTGTCATTGTCATCTGTGTATTACTACATAAATTGTTATTGGAGGAAGTACCAGGCCCAACACGCCCCCTTTTTTTAAATGGGGAAGAGTTGATGAACATGTATTCTACAGGGGAAAATGCTCTTCCACACTGGCCTGCCAGAGCTGGCTGTGATGTGTCTTTTTGGAGAGGGGTCTTTTTTTCCCAGGGCTCCTGTTGGAGTAGAGTGTGGGCATACTTAATCCAGGAATTCTCTCCTTTTGACTATACTTTTTCAAAGTAATTTTTTTTTTTTTTTTCATTTTTTCAGGTGTAACATAACTTCTTTTTTGGGGCAGAAATCATGACAAATTCTATTTCCATCTCCCTTGAATCCAACTGAGTCTTCTTCCTCTTCAGCACTATGAAAAGGGATGTGGCTTCCCGAGGTTGGGAACCCATGGGCTACCATAAAGCTGGTCTGAAATATTTCTATTCAAACTTGCAGGCAAGTGTGCTTTGATGGAGCAGAGGTGGAGCCCATATTTTCTTGGTCAGACTAGTGCAATTCATACAACTGTACTCCTTTCCTACCAACTACCTTTTCAGCACACCAGGACTCTGTTACACATGTTCTCTGATGAGATCCAGCAGTAAGTGCTTCTCCCTCTGCAGCTGCCTTTTGCTTAATTGACCCATTTTGCAGCAGATTAGGCCCCAAGGAGGAGTTTTATATGAGCAGTTATTCTAAAAGGCGGGTCGGGGCTTCAGTGAACTGTTCATCACTAGAAAATCCTGCTAGCCCCAATTTACCTTTTTATACTTTATTCTAAAATATTCTGACTTAGCAATAAACTTATGAATCTCTCCTGCCAGATATAGTCTCCACACCTCTCTCTTTCCTGACTTTTGAACTGCATGTGTTGGGTCAGATTTACCACCATACATGCAGATTTACCTTCACTCTTTCTTTTTGTCTTAAAACAGCCACCAGAATTGTATATCTGGGTCTTCCAGCATTGCAGGTGGCATTGCCAGGGCTGCTTTAGCTTCTCTGAGTAATAGTCCCAATGTTCTGTGTGAGATGTAGGAATACATCTCACCAGGCAGTGCATCTTTCCGCAGGGTTGATGAGGATGAGAAGTCTTTTCCTGCACTGCAGGCAATTACAGTGGCCTCTTTGAGTCTGTGCAGGGATTGCATATCATACCACATTCTCAGAATCACAGCTGCTACAATGACCGAAGGAGAGAATTAGAGCAAAATTCAGTGTGAACCAATATTAAGCAATTAGTAGATCTTTCTTGATATTACTAATATTACATAATACTATTGTTATATTAATAATATTATATTGATGAATTCTGAGATGTGGGCAGCTTGCTCTTGATTAGCTGTTGTTCCTGACAAGCCTGTCCGGTATATTGTAGGAATTATCTCTCTATTTCCCCACTTTCTACCATCACCAGTCTTCTGCACATTAGTTAAGGAACAACTTCTGCCTGTACCTACTATTCAATTTCCTTGAACACCCATACAAGAAAACAAAGAGGATTGTGACATAACTGTAACAACAACAGGGTGGATGAACCCTGAATGACTAGACGGAGCTGAAAAATTTCTGACTTTTCCTTGCCAGGGCAGTAAATGATAATGATTGCCTTTAGTACAGGTAAGTGCAGCACATGCATGGTACGGTGGTAGCGTGCCTGCAGGTAGGGGCATTAGACAGGGGCAGGCACACAGTCCCTGCCACGTCCTACCATTGCAGTTCTCTCAGTGGATGGGTTTTGATGTGACCAGGGAAAATTTGCAGCCCTGGGCTCGGCTTCTGGTGCCATGATGGGAAGGTGGGATTCTGAAGCAAACAGATTTGAGGTTGTGGGTAGGAAAAAGCCTCATTGATCGCTATCCCTCCTGTAAACCCGTGCCTGACCTCAAACTTTTGCTGTAGGAACTTCCCCAGCATGAGCTCTCACAGGCTTATCAAGCACAGGGACATTGCAGCCCCTTCCCCATGCAGGCAAACATCCTGCAAAATGCCTGCTGCTGGTGTTCAGTCCCAGTGAGCCAGAGCAAGCTGGGGAGCTGCCACAGCTCCCTCCACACGCTGCTGGTGGTGCAACAGATTTAAATGTTTCTCCTACTGCTGTTCCCACCCCCATCATCTCTGTGAGTTCATTCGATTAGGAACTCCAGTTTGCATGGTAACACTGGAGCCTGAGGGATTATGATATTTTTTTCATGCCAGTCCAGATCAGTGTGAGACAGCAGTCTCGACAGGACGGGTTTCTGTAATTTAGGCAGTAGAAGTCCAGAGCCATTTATGCTGCATTTGCAGAATTACCAGCTGGGATGAAGAAAGCTTTGGGAAAGGGGAGAACGAGAGTGCATTTGGGACCCTTGCTCAGTCCTTAGGGAGGACACAGCTCAGCTAAAATCAAGGATCAGGGCCTCAGTCCAGACATTTGAATGGGACCAGAAAACTTGCTGTTGAATGAACTATTTAAGAGGGACCTGGAAGGGCTGGAGAGAAGGGAGCTACAACAAAGAAACAGAATGGTGCAGCAAAGTAACCTGCTTGGGAATGAGGAGAGGGGAAATATTTGAGCCCCAAAGAGCATATTGTGTCTGGTACCTCCGACAACAGCATCTGCTCATGGACATGCTGCGGGGTTTACATGCTGGGCTTTGTCAATGGTCGGGGTGTTCTCCTTTTACAACTTTGATAAATAGAGAAGGATTCCCTTTCTCCTGCCGTTCCCTTCTGTGTACTTGAGGCACAACTTATCCTTGGTGCATCACCCAGAAGGCATAAAGGGATGTGTGCTACAAAGGCTTCATTCTTCCTACCTGCTCACCTACCTCTGCTATCAGAAAAGCAGGATCTTGCCAAGGTTATAAGGCAGTTTATCTGCACAGATTAGACCCTGAGCGTGGACTCTGGCTGCTGGCGGATCCTGCTGGGCCAGCAGATGATGCTGCCGGTTGAACAGCTGAGAGCATGGGAACACAAAGCCTCCGAGAACACCAAATGCCTCAGCAAAATCCAGACATTTGCAAGGGGTTAAACGCAGGAATGTGCGCTCCTGAAGGTCTGTGGCGGGATGGAAATGATGTGAGAATTCAGGGCTATTGGATCTAGTATTCATTCAATTACCATGCTTAGTTAAGTACTGCACAGTGGAGTGAAGACTGCAGTCTGTTAGGATGGCTGTTACTGTAAGTCATTTAATTATGAGGTTGCTCATATGCCATTTTAACATATGTAGAGTAACATTATCCCTCTTTTGTAGGTCACTATTCTCATAAGTCTGGCTCTTGCATTCCTTGCCTGCATAGTGTTTCTTGTGGTATACAAAGCCTTTACTTATGACCACAGTTGCCCAGATGGATTTGTTTATAAGGTAAGAAACTTCAGATGGATGAATTGCCAGAGTTAATGATAGACTCTAATTGACTACATGGTTACAGTCTAGTCTGCTTTTTTGACCAGGCCAAACAGAACATTTGGCAAGAATGTGTTGAAATGGGAAAAGTGTTATGGGAAATGTGGACTTGCATCTGCCTCCATCAGCTACTGTTACACTGTAATTGTTGGGATTAGCATTTGGTGAACACTACAGACAGATGTTCAGGAACAATCCCTCATATTTGTGAATGGATTTATTGCAGCTGGAATCCTGCGTTTGCTTCCCACACGTTCAAGTGACTGAGGTTTACTGGCATACATTTTAATGCAAAGCAAACTCCCAGAGTGCTGGCACATGTGTCCTTTGTGAAAGAAATCCAAATTTGCCCATGTAGTTCATTTTCAGGTGCTTTTGAGTCTTTGTCAAGAACAGAACCATGTAATGTGCTAAAACCCCACTGCCCAGTGATTTTATATTGAATATTCACAGCGAATGATTTGCCTGGTCTGTTGAGATTTTTTTAAAAAAAAAAAAGTTTCCAAAATAATTCACTGACTCCTTACTGTGAATAAACTCATAAACTCACAGGAGTCTTGATCACACTGGGGACAGTCTGTGGGCTGGAAAATAGAGTAAGGATGTTGGGGTATTAGTCATTGTGAATTATTCTCTTAGGTTATATAAATATGAAGTTAGAGCAGAGTCATGAATTTCAGAATCAGATCCAAACCTGAACTTCTGAAAAGATTAGAGGTTTTGGACTCAGATTTCAGCTAGTCATATTGAATTGGGAGTTGGGGTATCTCATAATTTAATAATAATTGTACCTGAGGCCCTTTGTGTCCTTTGACTCTGGTGAATACCGACCAGTCTGACATTTGTTACCATTTGATCGCTCTTTTACAGCTGTTGCAAAGCAAATTGTTTTATCTGTGCAGTTCTTGGCACGCAAGTGTCCGCACTAGCGCAGCGGAGATGCATGGGCAGGGTCTGCGCAGACAAGAAGCTCTGACAAGGGCTGGCCAGTTGGCTGTGCTTCCTACCATCCCCGACCCAGGTGGCTGTCCTACAGGTCAGAGGTGACGTTGTAACAGAGCAGCACCTAAGCAGCTTACTCTGCCTCTGCCTGTCCTCTACTTCTCTGAGGATTAATTCTGGACTTCGCTTTACAGAGCTTTCAGTCCAGCACTTCAGAGCTGCTCAGCCAGCCCTGCTAGGACTCCAGCAAAGGGCCTCGGTCTCTGCGCGTGCCAGTAACGTACCAAACCATTCAGACCTTCATTTTACAGTCCACATTTCCCATCCACAGATGAAATCAGCCTGCAATCAGGGTTGCCAATAGCAACAGGTTTTGAAGGCTGCTGCCCGACTCTAAACTTTGTGCATTCCCACAGTGCTGGAAGGCAGTCGGGGCTGCGCAGCAGACACTCTCGCTGCAGCAAGCCCGAGTCAAACGTCATCCGCGCAAATATCTAACCCTGAGATTTTTAAAGTGAGAGCCTGAGGCTGGTGGGACCACTCTTCACCTCTCTTGCTTTCTCCCCGCTTCCAGCACAAGCGGTGCATCCCGGCCTCACTGGATGCATACTACTCTGCACAGGATTCCAACTCCCGGGGCAGGTTCTACACTGTCATCAGCCACTACAGCATGGCCAAGCAGACCAGCTCCCGGGCCGTATCGCCCTGGCTGTCTTCGGGATCGGTAAACCACGAAGCCAAGGCTGCCAAGACAGAAGGTCATTAAAGTTAACAAGTGGTGATGGGCAAAGCGGGAGGGTGGGGGGACAACACCATGTCTATACTGCATTGCTCTAGCTGAGGGTGCTGTGCTAACAGCACAACAGGAATAAATAAAACCCAAGTGCAGGAGTCATCTTAATGGATATTTCTTTTCGTGCATTGTTCTCGTTGATTTGTAACCGAGTCGAGCTCTTGTACAAAGGCATGTTTGATGTTGACTGTACCTTATGATGTAAAAATATTTTTAAATCATTGCTTAACTATTTGTTAGAAAAAAGAAATTAAAAAACAAAAAAAGCAAATTAGATAAAGAGCCAGAGAGGATAAAAGCAGCAAAGAGAATAACGCAAAGTTTTGTCATTGCTGGAAAGCTGTGACAAGGTTTAGCATGCATTGAAGGAACAGCTGGAATCCTTTTAAGAGAGAGGGTAGAGAGAATCTGTTACAAAGACATTGTGATATTGTTTAGCTTGCCAAAGGGGGGATATGTTGCTGTCAAATCGAATCTATCATCAGTGTTCATTTGCTGATAGAGAAATACAGGTATCCCCTCCTCCCTCAAATGTACACATGTGCAAACACACGTGCACACATGCACAGTGGCCTAAGTAAATTCAGAAAAATCTAGGCATTTGTAATGAGCTGCCACTGTGTTGGTGATCTTGGCTGGGCCCTGAGGCTGAAATCCTGGTTGTCATTTGGGTGGTATGGAGCAGGATGGAAGCAGATGGAGGCTGCCATAGTGAAATCAAGAATATACTTCTGAGCACAGGGCCTAGGAGTCAGGAGATCAGGGCTTTATTTCTGCTGCTGGCACAGATTTCCTTCATGACCTTTGGCAAGTTATATGAGGCTTCATCCTTTGGGACCTCCCTCTGGAGGGTCACCAAGAGACAAAGAAATGCTGTTATAAATTGAGGAGCCTCTCAAGAGTGGTGATAGTATAGAACAGTATTAAGCCTCTAACTTTTCAGACCCTAATTTTTCCTCACCCATGACACGCAATGCTCCTGCTTCCCTCCTTCAACTTCAGATACTTCAGTATTTAATGTCATTCTAGGCAGTTAGAGAGGGATAGCTGTAGCATGCTCTCAGAGTGCAAGGGTCCCATCAAATCTCTGCTTGCAAACACAGACCAGACCCCAAGCTTAATCCAGTCCTGGCCAATGTAAAACATCCTCTCCCCACAAATGGCATGTACAATTAGTGCAGACTGGTGGGATTTAAAAACCAAAAGGATTCTCTTTTTTCAGAGCTGCAAGCTGTTACTGCAAAGCAGCTCTGCTCCTCGGTAGTGTAGGCAGGGTGAGACTGAGCAGCAGGAGCAGAGTGCACAGGGAGGGCAAGGTTCACGTTTGACTAAGGCTGCTTTTTCAGATTTGTGGCTAGACTGGGATGGAAATTAGGAACTGGCCCCTTCTTCCCCTGCATTGGGCAGTTTTGTCCTCCATTTCACATACATAGACACTAGAGGGTGTAAAAGAGGGCAGAACTCCTCAGTCCTAACAGGCATCATGATAAATAACTGTATAGTGTAGCTAAAAATGTAGTGCCAAATGCCATTGTCTGATTTCCTATCCTTCCTTCCCCTTCCACCTGTAAATTCATTTCTCTCTCAAAATGTACAAACCACCCCCTCCACCAACAATCAAAACTCCAGCAAACCACTGAACAGTTTATAATTTTGTGGTGTATTTTTTGTCAGTAGGTAGCAGAGACTGAAGTATTTTTTGGTGTAATTCTTGAACTTTTCTGACGGGATTAAAATAAAGCTAGATGTGACTGAGCGTCTCTGGCTCTGGCAGGTTTTTTTTGGTGACTCTTGCTTTGGGCTGGGACATGGTGGGTGGTGATGTGTGTGTGCCTGGTGCTGCCGAGCGTGGCTGCAGCGAAGACCCGAGGTGACTCTAGCTTTCAGGAGGCATTTTCAGAGCTTGCTATTTTCCCCTTTAATCACTGGGAGTTTATTCCCTATGTTCCTGCCCATTTTTCAATTGCAAAGAGAAAAATAGTAATTACACCCAAGGTGATCTTCAAAGCAAGTGGAGGTGCTTTTCCATTGGTGATTCTTGACTTTACAGAGGGACCTCCCCTCCCTTCCCATTTTAAGGCCAACAAATGATAGAAACTTTGGCTGGCAGCAATGTCTCCTTTGCCATCTACTCCCAATGCAAGTGTTCATCTATGCTGGAGCAGGATCCTTCAGAAGGGCCATTTCAAGAAGAGCGCTGCAGGGAAATACAACTGACAAACCAAGAGCCACAGCTGAACTTTGAAAAAGCTGAGCTCTGTATCCAAACTCTCCAGCTTGATTTCGAATGAAACTACAACTATATTCATCTCACATTGTTCAGAAAGCAGATTGTGTTTCCTCAAGTCCTTCAACTCTTTAAACTGGAATGATACCCTGGCATTTAATTGGCTCATTCCCAAAGGCTAAAGAATGTTTTATAAAAACCTTTGGATGGCTTTCCTTCAAAAAAAAAGTGTATTCAGAGTTGTGAAATTGAGCTACCGTAGGACAGAAACTACTCTGGTGTTAGAGGTCACCACCAAGTACTTACGAAATGTATTAAAAGGGATTCAGCGCGCTTTGCAGAATTGAGTCACAGGATAATTTGACCATGGTATTTCTGTCGCCACTCACACAGTAATACTCTATCCGTATGTTTACTTTAATCTAAAAACCCCAGGAATCAAATCATTTGAATTAAAAGGTTCTAGCTATTATTAGATAAGTGAGTCAGTGGGGATAACCATTCCTATTTAATATAGGAAAGATCAAAATGTGTATGGAGCAGAATGGAAAAAAAAGACCCAAGGAAGGCTCATGGGAGAGCAAAAGAAACCAAACAACCCAACTCCAGCTGCAAGTTTCATTACTGTGAATGTTGTTATTACGGTTTTTGTACAAGCTGCAGTAGAGCTTCCAAGAGCAACCACATATTTTAATCACAGTAACAGAGAGAGAGAGAGAGAAAATTGAAACTGTAGTACATCTTATTATTATTTCAGTCTTTAAAAGCCTCCTTCAAGGCTGATCATATGGTTTCAATACTGATTAAAGTAGCATATTGGTGATAGTATAGTCTCATCCTGGCTGTCATCTCTCTGTGAAGTCTAAAGCTCCTGCCTGGCTCTACAGAGTAGTGTTGTGAGCTAGTGTCTGGCAAGGGCTCAGTCTCAGCTCTGAATGGTACCGATGAACAAGAGGCTTTCCTGTGCTTCTCCCAACATTTATGTGATGGCCAAGTCAAGACAGCTCCAACCTCTTCATCTGCGACTGACCCTACTAAAGCATGAGTGCCTTTGGGAGATCTTCTCTATTACTGGATTGCTGCAGTGTGCTCAGATTTTGAATTCTGCACCAAAATATGCTTTTGGGCCACTGAGACTGGAAGAGTTATTTGTCTTCTCAGACAGTCATGCAGGAGACGGGTGCCTGGACTGTTTGTCCTGTCTCAAGTGGTAGGAAGGGATGAACAAGAACTGTCAACACATGGAGGAGCTCATATTGTGGGGACAGGGACATACCGAGCAGGCAGCAATCCTATAGAATAACTGGCAGAACACGTAGGGAAAAATTAGCTTTAATAAAAGGTGTGGTGATGCTGTGATGGGAACTCAGCTGCCGCCAGCCTAGGCTCAGGAAGAGGAGGAAGAAATTGTGGCTGTTGGAGCCTGAGAAAGATCGAGAGCAAGAGAAAAAGAGATTGCTACCAGCCAAGACACGGAAGCAAGCATTGCTTTTCTGTTGTAACCCAATGACCCTAAAGCCTGCTTGACTAATACAGACTGTCTTGTTTTGGAAAAGCTGCCCATTGTTGCTACAAACATCTGCTGACTGCAGCACGCTCTGAGGGGAATCGCTCCACCACTAATTCAAATCCTCTTGGACTGCCTGCAAAAACAGCGTGAGAAAAGGAGGTGCCGATGGCAGGACCCCGTGGCTGGCGGGGCGCACCATTGGCAAAAAAAGAGGTGTCTGTCTAGGGTCTTGGAGGTGATTTCATGCTTTGGGTCTGCGTTAGAAAGACAGCTCAAGGTGCTGCCAGTGTCTCTGTTAGGAGAGCAGAAAAGGAACAGTCCCTGTCCCTTTGCATGTGAATTCTTTTTTTTCCCCTTTATCCTCCTCCGTGCTTGCCAGCTGTTTCTGGTTTGTAGTAATACCTCAAGTGATAAGTGTAAGGGTCGTGCACTGAACTGTCTACAATCACATTTTATACGATTAGTCAGGGTTTTTTTTAAAGCACCCTAATTATTACAGTCAAACCGGATTAAGCTATTCCTCTAATAGATTTTCAGTTCCTGTAAAATAGGCCAGAGAAAATGACTTACGGGAGGGGATGGGGGAAGGGAAGGCTCTTTCCTCCTGTCTCTTTTGCCTTTGCCTTTTCTTTTTTCCAGCAGTGGCAGGGGTGTTACAGGGATCCCACTAGATGAGTGCCCAGCAAAGTCAGGGGTCTCTGGCACTCAGCTCCCCTTCTCACCTGGACTGGTGCCCTTTGAGGGGCAAAAAAAGTAAAATCCTTTTAATTGAGAATGTTACTGTACTCGGGATGGTGGCTGACAAGTCATTTGATGGGTTGTGGGTTGCTCCATCATGGAAAATAATCCACAGCAAGTTGAAGTACAGGAAGGTGATAAATGCATTGGCATTATGCCTGAACAGCTCATCACCGGGAAAGGCTGGGCAAGATTAGTGCTGAAGAGGCTTTCGTCCTGCAGCAGGCAGGCTGGGAATAGTAAAAGCAGAGCGAGAGGAAATGGAAAAGCCTGTCAACAGCAGGTTACACAGTTTATCCTGGCATGGCCAGTGCCCTGCCCTGCTCTGACATGACGGGATTGCCTGAGCCCGAGCCCGCTGCCATTGCAGGAACCGGCTGCTGGGGATGTGCATCGCTTCCCTCTGCCGAGGGCTCCTGCCTGCGCGGAGGGGCTGCTGCAGCTGCCGGTGGTCCCCATTAGCGCAGGGGCAGGGGGTCAGAAACAAGATACCCTGTGGCTTCCCTTGCTGATAATACAAAGCGTGAGCGCTACCGGTGTGAGCAATAATAAAAACGCTGCAAACTGAGGCTGCCATTAATAAAATATTTACACCACTCGGGCAGTGGCGTTTTAGCCGAGTGCCGAGGCTTCCCCATGGCAATCGGTGATTGATGGTGACATTATTACTTACTGCTCCCCTGCCCTGCTCCATCAGCACAGCTTATTGATGGGCAGCATTCTCCAGCTGCAAATGGCCAAGGAGAGTCTAGCCCTTCACAGTCCTGGGGGTTAAAAAGAGCCAAGCTGATGCTACGTGGGGCTGCGAAGCCACGGCAAGCCCAGCTCCCCTTTAGAGTCCGTAGGTCCATGCCAGCAGGTTGCTTTAAACAGCAACACAGCCTGCCTGCTGTGGCAAAAGGACTGATGCCCAGCGACGATGCCAGCTTCTGCCAGCAGCTTTCCAGCCACTGCTTGAGCGCTATGGTGGCACTAGGGCTCCGCAGGGACCGACGCTGGGGGCTCCACCAGTACCATCTTCCAGCTGGATAAGTGCGCAGCTACTGG